AACTCACAAGCATGAAGGCCTCCCTCCATCAGAGTCCGCCTCCCAGACTCCTGAAATATGTCCACATGTCTTCCTGGTTCCCCGTTTCCCACAGGACAGCAACTACCAACCCGGGGTGCCAGCTCCATTTTCCTAGCTGTCGTGGGGACCTTATAGAAACAGCACTTGTGAAAAAGCCGACAAGCTAAAGCCCCTCTTGAAAGGAGAGAGAATTCTATACGGTGTGCCCAGGAGGCGCTGCCAGAAGGCTTCTTCGAAGCGAGGACGGAGAGACTCTCAGTACTTCAGATGTGTTATCAGGAGAGACCAGTCCCTGGAGAAGGACATCCGGTTTGGTGGAGTAAGGTCAGTGGAAAAAAGAAGACCTTCAAAGCAATCGCGGCTTCCACCGTGGGCTCAGACTAACCATCATGGTGAGGATGGCGCTTGGTTCAGTTCCGTGTAGCATTGTTCCATGTCGGAATCCACTCCAGGCTCCCAGACAACAACAACAACAACATATGGATTCGGAGTCTGGGGCAGAGCAGACACACAGCAGCTAAGCACAGCGCTGGGAATTTGAGTTTGTGAGTGTAGTAGCTCTAGGAAAAGCTTAAACAGCCTTAACAAGAGTGAAGCCATTTTGAGCTGGCAGAAGCCACTATAAACGATCAATAAACTAGCTATCAACTATAAATAAACCAGCTGATATTAGGGAGGCAGGCTGTGCTGACAAGCGCAACGGACTGTACCAAAGGAAATGTATGTTCGAAGGCTCGGAAGAACTAAGAGTAGTGATGGTTCGACTAAGAATGGCTAGCCACAATATCCTGCTTCAGTACTCTGCTTGCTTGCATACCTGCACGTTGCAAAGGTAAAAAATCCTTTGGAAAATTAGACAGGCCACCACTCAGTCTCCTCTCAAAGAGGGCTGATGGTCCCTGCGCAGGTAATAAAACTTTTTCTTTTGAACTTGTCGGCGGTCTGGGTTGTTTTCTTTCTGGGAACGGACAGTAGGCTGCAACATTAGGTCGCTAGATTAGGAACAATGGACACTGTCTCCCTAATGCCTGCAAAAGGCCCCAGTACAGGGGTTGGAGCGAGATAAGGCATCCATGGGACACCTAAGGGAAATCCAGAACTGGGTATGTGCAAACTAAGTCCCCACCCCCTCCCCTAGGTGCAGGTGAAACCAAACCTAGCCACCACCGAGGTCCATGACATTACACAGGTGTGCTTAAGTGCAGCCAATAAGATCGGCCAGTGCCCTCCACCATGCCTCCCCCAGCCAGGGGGGTGGGAGAGAGTAAGAGGTAGGTGTGCAGCCCGGCACACCCTCTGGGCCCCGTGTTGGCCTCTCTTACTCTGCTCTTGCTCAGGGTGCATGCTGCAAGCCAAGGGCCTCCTGTGGGGGGGTCATGCACGGCCCCCTCAGGGCCCGCCCAGGGCCTGTTGGACCTGCAAGCCCTCTTAGCCTCTGTGGATTATTTCCACATGTTTTTTTTTTTCCCCATGCCCAGTTGAGGAGCCCCTCACGTGGCTCCCGCACTGCCTGATGCACTTTCCAGAATAGCGTGTACCTTTCCGAGATTGTAATACCTGAAACCTTCCCTGTCCTTCGTAAAAGCTCACTTGGATGACCAAAGTGCTGCTACTGTGTGAAACCTTTCAGCGCCAAGAAGCAAAGACGGGAGGTAACCCCATCCAAGAACCTAACAAGTTCACCCAGAGTGCCTCGGAAGAACAGGCTGCGGGGAGCCCAGTGGACACACCTGGGTCTCCGCGAATCAGATCCACTCTGTGGCTCTGGTTCGAGAGCAGTTCCTTTGCTTGGTATTTTGAAGTGTTAGTGTCGTTTATATTGTGGAGCTGGGCATAGAAATCACTCATACACTGACATTAATAATCCAAATGTCATCGTAAAGCCCTATTTCTCTCCTGACGGGAGGCAGAGTAAAATTGGTTGATGATTGAGAAAGAGCTTTCTGGAAGCCAGCCCGACAGAGGGGAGGCATGAAGGGTGAGGGAAGAGGGAACAGGCTGAACCAGCAGGGAGAGGGGCGCAGAGAGACCTCTTGGTGGGGAAGCTCACAGGGCTGAGAGCTCTGGGCTCAATCACAGGTGCCAACTCCCACTGGGTGAGTGAAAACCCCTCTGCCCCATTCATGCCTCAGTTTACACCTGGCAGATGCAGGGCAAGTAGACATCTCGCACACAAAGGTGGCCAACCCTGGTTTAACCTTAGAGGCTCCTCAGGGGAAGTCAGGTGAGAGGGGGGGTGAGAACAACTGAAGCTAGATGAGGCCCCCCGCCTACGAATGTCTGATTTGATCATGGAAACACCCTCATCCTGGGCACCTCTCATCCCAAGCAGCCCTGGAAGGCTGGTCACCCTAGAGCATGCCCCATTGCCATAGCGCCCCCCACGAGGAAGCGAGAAACTAGGATTCCACCTGGACGGGGCTGAGCGATCTCCTTCCTTGTTTAGAACCAAGGAGAGGTTTCCAGAGAACATCACTGTGACCTTGTAGTCACCTTGGGTGTATGTCTGAGCAGAGAGTAGTCGATTTCACACTGACTCCTAGGGGGACTCCTATGGCCTCATGGGACCTTACTTGGCCTCACCTGTGGGAAACAGAAGGATTTCTCCCAAGCTGTCTCCCCCAAATATATGCCAGACTTAGCTGCTTGAGAATGACTATACACTTGGAAGTCATCAGAAGTAGATTAGGGGTCATTCTCCCTAAGAGCTATCAGCCATCTAGAGCAAGCAGACACCACTGTTTATCCCACAACAAGTAGGGCCCACTCCCTTCTGATAAGGACAGTAGTTGTCTGTTTCCTTATAGGAGTCACCAGAGAGGTCAAACCCGCCCAAGGATGACCAAGATTAGGCTGGCATCATGAGTCTAGGGTCTGCCCATCTTGTCACATGTATACCCCTAGACCTTCCCATTCCTATGGGCACACCCCTAGCTCATCCCCTTCCTGTTACGCTTATGCCTATCATAGATCCCCTTCCTACGATGTGTATGCCTATTGTACTGCCCCTTCCTGTGACATGTGGTTACCTGTAATGATGTCCCCCTAAAGAGATATAACGCTCGGTTAGCAATAAAGAAGAGACTCTCCCCAGTCCTCAGACCCAGGCTCTCTCCTGCTCTCGTGGCTGGGCTCCCCCCACGAGGACCATCCAGCGGGGCTGAGGTGAGCAATGCTACCATGAATTGTGTCTGACTCCATTACTCCAGTCTCTTCTCTACCTCTCATGCGCTCTATGACTTTACTATAATCTTTACTTATTATCGCTGTACAATTGCGCGTACTGGACCTGTGATGATTTGTGGGGGACCTCCCCCTCCTCCTAACCCCACACTCACCTAGGTCCTCTTGCCTTCACCTGTTCTCCCATGGCCCTTGCCTACACCTGGCCTTACCTGACCATGGGTCCCCAATGCCTTACCTGACCGATAGTATCGATGCCACTGCTCCTGGGTAATCAGGCCCAGCTTCAGGGCTTCCTGGGCCCCAGCTCGCAGGACAGAGATCAGGGGGGGCTCCTCAGGCCCTCGGGCCTCCCCAGCACCCGTGGCCTGCAGCACGTAGGCAGGGGGCACGGCGTTCTCGTCCTTACGGAAGCAGCGTGCCACCAACTCCAGGTCTCTCGGCCGGGTCGTCAGCTGGGCCCTCAGTGCCTCCCACTCTTTCTCCTCAATTAGTGGGGGGATTGGGCAGGGGCCGTACTGGTCACCGACAAGGGCCTGGGAGAGAAACACAGGTTCAAGTCTTGGCATGGGCACCCAGCTTCCCAGGGCACGCTCTCCCCCCAAATACATCTCAGAGTAGCAGTGATTCCATCGTAGGACACTCCGCTTCCACGTGGGAGATGGGGGTTTGTTTGGGTTTGACGTATGCCTACTGCACCTGGTGCCCAGCTACCACCTGTCTGTCAGAGGAGGCCTGCATGTTGGGATGATGCTGAGCTGATACCAACAGAGCTTCCACACTAGGGTGGGGCAGGAAGAAAGGCCTGGAGATTGACCTTGGCAAATTAGCCTAGTGGAACTCCAAGCATCCAAGCAGTCTAATCCATGTGCCATCTTGGGGCTGGTGCAGGGCCGGGCAGCTCACAAGGACAACAAACAAGTGCCCCTCCCTGAGGTTGCGTGGACAATTCCATTGAGGAGTGCCATCCGAGATTTGGGAAAGCGCCTGTGTGCAGAGGTGCCTGGGAGGCTGCGACCTCAGACCGCTTTAAGTTTTTCCTCGGATGGATCCGCCTGCCTCACAGAATAATCTATTGAGTGATGCACCCGCCTGCCTCCCTTCCCTGACACCAAAGACATCAGGTCAAGCCATTGGTCAGATCAGAGACAGGTCAGGTCGTCAGCTTCCTGGGCCTTGGAGCCCATGGGGACTGTCAGGCAGCAGGGCATCTCACAAATGTACAACCGAGAGGCGGACTTGGTGGGGAGTCAGAGAAACTCCCCTGAGCCGGGAGTGAGGCCTGAGAATGAATTTTCTGAGCAGAGCACCTGCGCAAAGGCCCTGGGACGGGAGAGGGTGTGTGCAAGGAAGCCAGTGGGGACTGGAAGCAGCAACAAGGGGGCATGGGCAGTGGTGGGGGCAAGACTGCTCCCGGGGCGAGAGTTTGTCCGCGTGAGTTCAGTCCTCACGCTGAAAGTGCCGCACAAACAAGAATCAAACCCACCTGCTGTCTTTGTGTCCCTCGCAGCCCACGGGGACCCCGCTTGTCACAGAATAGAACTGCTCCAGAGAGTTCCCAAGACTGTTGTCTTGACGGAGGAGCCCTGGCGGTGGAGTGGTGGTGAGGGGGCAGCAGTTCAAAGTCACCAGTGGCTCTTCAGGTGAACCAGAAAAACCCAAGCCCACTGCCATCGCGTCAGTGCCAACTCAGAGTGCCCCCCGTGGGTTTCCGATGCGGTACGTGTTGACAGCCTTTCTCCCACAGAGCTGCCAGGCGTTTCGAACTGCCGACCGGGCAGATTGCAGCCCAACACTAACCACTACACCGCCACGAGAAAGATGAGGCGTTCTACTCCTGTGAAGGGTTCCAGTCCTGGACATCCACAGGAGCAGTTCTCTTTTGTCTTATAGGGGCTCTGTGAGTCGGAATTGATTTGAAGCAGCTAGCCAGGCCTTTCTGCATTGGCACCTCTGCGTCAGTTCACACAGTCACCCATTAGGTTAGTAGGCTCCTGCAATCCCAGGGACCCACCCCAAACCAAAGCAAATGCAAAGCCACCCAGTCAATTCCGACTCATAGTGACCCTGTAGAACAACAGAGTCGAACTGCCCCCATGGGTTTCTGAAACAGGCCTGGGAAACAGGAAGCGTTAACAAGAGGGGGCCAAGGAACCCCCAGGAGCAGCGCTGGCTCTGGCGCTCTGGAGCTGCTGGAGCTCCTGGTTGCCCAAGAGACACCAAGTCCCTAAAAGGAGGTGCCGTGGGGACCTGCTTCCTGCACGGATGCCTAATGACTTATTTACCTGAAAGTTAAGACTCCTCTCCAAGGCTCCCAGCAACTCGGGTTTGCGTGAAAAGTCCCCAAACCTGAGCTACTGACTAAGAATGGTGACTTGGGGGTATGGGGGAAGAGGCTGGGTTCTGAAGAAAAGCTGGGGGTCAGGGGATCCTGGGGGATTTGCCTAAACAGCCATTTAGGAATGACGCTCAGGCTCTCCCTCCGGCTGTGCCTGGGGAAGCTTGGAGATCATTCTCCAGCCCCCTCGTGACCGGGAAGCCCTGCTGTGCTTTTTGCTGCCTTGCATTTGGGTTGCAAAACCTCATTCCTCCTGGAATTCCGTTTCCTCTTCTCACCCTCTTTAACCTCAGAGAAAAGATTTTCTCTTTCCATCAAATCACAACAAAAAGATCATCAGACTCATTTGGAAAATTAAATTAAAGGACAGGAACATAATTGGGAAAGAGCTGTGGTAAGCAAGAGTAGAGAGCCTTCCCAATGTTAGAACATATTTTAAAGCAATGGTAATGAAACAGAGTGGCACCAAGATGCAGAGAGAAGCACACAGCAAACAGAGCCAGAATGACACTATGCCTGACCTATCAAAGCCAGCCACAAGAAAGGACGCTTCTCAACGCCTCTTCCTAGACCTTAAATTCTTTGAAGCCTTTGACTCTGTTCTGACCCATGGAGGGAAAGCTCATGGGTTACAGAGGAGAACTGCTCTGTCTTCTCTTGGCTGTTATTTTTACACATACAGATGGCCAGGCCTTTCTTCCGTGTGCTGCTGGGGGAGAGGGGGCTCCATTGCTATCCTTTGGGTCATAGGTTCCCTTTGCACACACACAAATAAACGCCCACCTTGGCAATGAACAATTTTTGTACGGTAGCCCATAATCCAAGCTATGGTACAGGTATCTGCTCTTGCAGCCCCCTGGATTGTTTCAGGACCCCGCTGGGGGGGTGGGGGGGATAGCAGTGTAGCCCACTGTAGGTAACAATAGATTAGCCCTCTGCTGACTCAGCAACCCTATAGGACAGGGTAGAGCAGCCCCTGTGAGTTTCTGAGATGCTAACTCAATGGGAGTGGAAAGCCCCATCTTTCTCCAGAAGAGTAGCTGGTGGTTTCAAATTGCTGGCCTTGTGGGTTGCGGTTGAACAAGTAACCACTATGCCACCAGGGCCCCTGATAGGTTAGCAGCCAAGTGAAATAATTTACCCTGTACGAGGGGCTCAAGCACAACCACGGAGGGCGGCTCAGGACCAGGCAGTGTTCCCTACTGTGCACAGGGTCGCTATGAGTTAGGGACCCACAGTAATGCCTAACCACAACAGCAATTGCTGCAGCCAAGAACCCTGGCTACACAGTGGTTCAGCGCTTGGCTGCTCCCCGGAAGGTCAATGGTTCAAGGCTGCCAGCTGTTGTATAAGAGGAAAATAAGGTAGTCTGCTTCTGCTAAAACAAAAAACAAAACCCAGAGGGGCAGTTACCTCCTATGCCATCGGGTCAGTATGAGTCAGAATCAATTTGGGATCATGATGCCTTACAATTGACCTGACCACAACGGGTGCTGAATCCCTAAGGCAGAGTCTCTGGTGGTTCAAATGGTGAACAACACCTTCCGCAGCTCACCCAAAGGTTGGAAGTCTGAGTCCACCTGGAGGTACCGTGGAAGAAAGGCCTGGCGATCGACTTCTCAAAGCAATCAGGCGTCAAAAACTACGGAGCACAGTTCTACTCTGACATGGATGGGGTCTCCCTGAGCCAGCACCAGCCCAGCCCAGGGGCCACAGGCCACATGTGCCGGCTGAGCCATGGAGAGGTGGGTCGTGAGGCTGCAGAGCTGAGGTTGGCCTTTGACTTGACTGGAATGAACTTAAATTCCAGCTCCCACCGGCCTGCAGCTGATGGCTACCATATTGGACACAGGATGGATGGGAGGGGAACACCCTGCCCTACATTCTACCCCACCTCCCAGACAGGTTCTGAGGCCTCCCCCTGCGCCCCCCGAGCCACTCACCCCTGCTTTGTGATGAAGGGAAAGCCTAGTGCTTTCCCTACCTTCCCCCTTTTTGTACACAGGGTCGCCGTGAGTCAGAGCCAACATGAAGGCAGTGAGCTTAGTCTGAGTTTATTCTCTTGGACAAAGAGCTCTGGTGGTGGGCCAGACAAGTGCTTCGCTGAACACTGAAAGGTGGGTCAGCAGTTCAAGCTCACCCCGCAGTCCTATAGAATCAAGCCCTGGTGATCTGCCCACCAGGATTCAACCACAAAACCAAAACATCTCACTGCCATTCGGTCCGTTCTGGCTCCTGGGCAGGCTGGGGGTGAGGTGGCGCTGTCCCTTTGGGCTGTCCAGACTGTCGGGCTTCAAGGGAGCAGAAAACCGCTCTTATTTTCTTTCCTTTCTCCCGAGCAGCAGCTCGTGAATTCGAACTGCTGACTTTGCAGTGAGCGGTCCAATGCTTAACCCGCGGGGCCACCAGGGACCCTCCATAAGGACACCATAGAACAAAATCCGCTCTCACTGCCCCTGAGTCGATTTCAACTCCTAGTGACCCTTTAAGACAGGGTGGAATGGCCCCAGAGTTTTCCAAGACCATAACTCCTTTTTTTCAGTCATTTTATTAGGGTCTCATACAACTCTTATCACAACCCATAGACCATAACTCTTTATAGACTCTTAGAGTCTCATCTTACTCCAAGAGTTGTGAGAGCCCCCAATAAAATGATTTTTAAAAATAATAATATTGTTCCTTTTGATGTTGTAACCGGGATATTACTATTTTTATTTCATTGACCAAGATGTTATAATCAGTGCTACCCTGCAACACTCACTAACTCTAAAGAACAACACATTATTTTTGCTTTCTGCTTCTGTCCATGCTTGCTTAAGTCCTAGACAAATGATAAATGAGTTTTTGTGAGCTTGGTACCAAATCCAAGTGTAACATTCCCATTGGAAGCCATACTTATATTTTTCATTGTAAAATGCTTTTGAAGTAATGAAATGTTAGCATAATTGTGTAACTACAGTCAGTTGAATCTACTACCATAGTTCTTGTCCATGAAAGATGGTTACATTATTTTCTAAGAAACAATGGAAACATTGGATTAGTCTTTGAAGTGAATTTGAGTTGTTACCAAGTAATTTAGTAGTTAACCATTCGTTAGTAGAAACCAGTTCCGGGTCCCCTCTAAAGTGAACCACCATTATTTCTAAGCATTAAGTGACATAGTACATTGTAACCAAGTAAGCTGCCCATTAAACATCTCAAGTAGCATGAAAGAAAAAAAAAAGAGGAGCTGAAATGTCCACTTGGGACTGCACTCCAAGACTCGCTTTCAGATTCCAGCAGTCCGGTTATAACCAAATAAAGTCTCTTCTAAATTGTCAAGACTTCTTAGTGGCTGTCACTTATTTGAACCTGCAACATAACCACTATGCCACCAGAACTCATTGCTAGAAAACCCTGTGAG